AACAAAATGGAGTACTAGAACCACTGGTGCAGGAAGTGAAGCCAGATGCTATAGGGATAATGGAAACATGGTGGAATAGTAATCATGACAGGAGTACAGGAGAGACAGACGTAAAGGCAAAGGTGGTGGAGTAGCATTGTATATTAATGACAAGCTAAACTGTAAAGAAATTAGAAGTGATGGAATGGATCAAACGGAATCTCTTGGGGCCAAAATCACTTTGGAGAAGAAAGGTAACAGAGGCTCCACTGGATAGTGCTGGAGTCTGCGACACCCCCCCCCAGGATCGATAGAGACCTCTAACATACTACTGGGAATTGTGTGATTATGGGAGATTTTAATTTCCCAGATATTGATTGGAGGACTAGTGCTACTAACGAAGGCAGGGCCCAGACATTCCTGGACATAATCGCTGACAGATTTCTTCACCAAACCAACAAGAAGCAATGCCATTTTAGACTGAGTATCGGTAAGCAGCGAGGACCTCCCAGAAGAGCTGCTTGTAGAGGACAGCCTTGGTTCCAGGGATCAGTCCCTGCTTGCCAGCAGCTACATTTTGGGCATGAGGCTCTGTCTCTGGAGGGGCAGGGGGAGCACAGGGCGGTGCTCAGGGCCCAACATAATGGCATGTGAGAATAAATACAGTTCCTACTGAGCAGTGTCCAGCTGGGTGGGGCTGCACGTGGGTAACCAGACAGCAAATGTGAAAAATCGGGACAGGTGGTGGGGGGTAATAGGAGCCCATATAAGAAAAAGACCCAAAAATCAGGACTGTCTCTATAAAATCGGGACATCTGGTCACCCTAGTAACTGCTCAGCTCTGTGGCTTTGATGTAGCGAGGGCCAGGCTGGGGAATGCAGGGAGGGAACCTGCAGAGCGTGGCGGGCTCATGGCCCAAGTGGCACTTAGAGTAACAAAGATGACCGGGGCAGGAGAGCCCTACAGAGGTCACATGCAGTTAGCCACCAAGGGGATTACAGCCTTCGCCAGCCTTGCCCTCCCCTCAGCCCCTAGCCGAGCCCAGCCCTGCCAGCAGCTCCGCTTTCTCGGGTCCCCTGTCACACCACCAGAGAGCTAGTGGAGCAGTCCAGGCCAGGCCAGTCTCAGCCCCGCCTCGCTGTGAACGCTGCGTCCCCCAGCCGCCAGCCCCGCTCTGCTATTCCCTGGGTAGTGCCTGCGGCAGAAGCGGTGCTCTCACATCTCCTGAAAGGCTCGGTAGCGATTTACAGCGACGCTAACAACCCCCAATACCTCCCGAGACGAGTCTCAGACAGCACATGGCGAGTATTTGCACAGAGACCAGGAATAAAACCCTGGATGCCAGAACTGACTGGAGGGGCCAGGACTGGCCCCCCGGTGCCCCATACTTCCTACAGCTCCAGTCTGGATCCTGGAGGGCAAGTGGGGCAGGCACACCCAGCCCTCCCTTCTGGAGCACATTAATACCCAGGCTTCCTCCGCTAATCCAGCTTTAAACCCTAATGCCTGCAGCACAAAGAGCTCCCTGGCCTCCCCGCCCCACCCTGCTTCCCATGGCAGCCACAGCTTCCCGACAAGAGCCCCTTCCATCCGAGACTGCTGCTCAGGATGGCAGGATCACGGGGCCCCCATGCACCCCGGGAAGGGGAAAGGGAGGATCCCTCTCGCACACCCAGAAGGGGAGGGGGCAGGTGACACATGCCTCCTGGGTCTGTGCGCGTGTGACACAGCGAAAGGAGAGAGATCCCTGCTCCCTGTGAGGAAGAAGAGGTGGTAGGATGGATCTCCCACCTCACAGAAGGCAGCAGGATCGTCCATGCCAACGAAAAGGGGAGGCTGGCACTGGAGATCACACACACGCACGGGCTTGTAGAGAGGAAGAAAAATCGCCTCCACCAGGCTGGTGTCTCTCTCCCGCTCACACACAGCATTGCTCCCCGTTCTCTTCCTGCTCCTAACGCAGGCTGGAGCGAGGAGTTCCTACGACAGACTGGGCAGGCGGGATGAGACTCAGCCCCATGTCAGTTGCATTCAGTGACCTTTATCAGTGTGCCAGGCTGTGCGAGGGGGTGTCTGCCGGAGGACAGGGCTACACACTGTGTTTGGGGTTCGAACCCCTGGCTCCAGTGCTCTTTACCAGCCATTCTGATCCGGTGACAGGTTACCCTTCCCACTCCTCACCACCGGAGACCCAAGGGAGCTTTTTCCTCCCCAGAACCAGAGCATTCCCACCAGCCATTACATCCTGCCTCCCTAAAACATGCCCTGCAGTCCAGCTCCTTCCCTCCCTGTGCGTCCCTGCCGGTCGTGCAGAGCCGTTCGCAAGGCACAGCGCGGCTGCAGGAAAGGAGGGAGCTCCTCGGGCTCGGGAGACCCAGTATAATGCATTGGACAACCCCAGATTGAAGGCCCCAAAGCACGGCAGAGCCTAGGTGTTCAGGCAGCCCGGGTGCTTCCTGCCCGGCTCTGCCGCCCTCCAGACGCTATCCGGGTAGCTGCAGAGCAGAGCCTCTTGGGTCCAGGGCCAAGTGTCAGCATCGTCACAGGCGTCCCACACAGATGGAGGGGTCCAGTGACGTGCCAGAGGCCATGCTGGGGGTGGGGGTGGAGGGGTCACTCTCCACGGCCCAGCGGGGGACCGAGAGGCAACAGGGCACACTAGCTAGTTTTGGCTGGGCGTGTGAGAGCCCTGGCAGCATGCCGCAGTCCATCCCTGGTGCAGGGTGCGGCAGAAGACAGGGAGGAGAGCCCAGCCAGGGCTGCAGAATGCAGGGGAAGATCTACATGGAGTGCGAGGTTTCTGCCTGGGGAACCCTGAGCACTGGCAGCTAGGCGTCCCTCTCTACCCGTGGAGACAAGAGTCGAGAGAGCCCCTCTGCTCAGATCCAGCCCCTCTGGGCCTCCTTCCCGGGGGCCGCTGGCTCCATCAGCCCAAGGAACGCCCGCACAGGGCTGCCTCCCACCTTCCAAGGGACAGGAGCGGATGCTCGGCAAGGGGAGAGGGCGATGGGGAAAGGACCGGTTCCAGCCCCGCATCGCAGGACTGCAGGCCTGGCCACCAATTCAGCGCTAGAGCAAGCAGCAGGGGCGGTGACCTCTGGGAGAGCTGGTCCCGCTGGCACCAGGGCTCACCCCGCTCCGGGGACTCGACAGTGGCGCTAACAGAGCAGAAAGGGGCACGAGGGCAGAAAACGCCCCCAGCACCAGCCTGCCCACCCCAAGCGCTGCACTGGGGCAGCGGCTCACCTGAATCTTCACAGCGATGAGCACCGAGCTCAGCTCCTTGTCCAGCTCCCTCAGCACCGTGAGCTTCTTCAAGCGCAGGCTGCAGAGCCTGTAAGACAGAGAGAATGGAACACACTCAGGCACCACCATCCCCAGGGCCCTGCCGCATGGTCCGAGGCGTCCGGACGCTAGCCGGGATGGCGCCCAGCCGCGGCCGCCTCTCCCCGCCACAGGCACACGCTCAGCTGATTCACGCCCCCCCAGAGAAAGCGGATCAGAGCAGAAAGGGAAGGAGGAACATTAACAGAGCTAAAGTAGGATTAAGGGATTACGGTGTGACAGGAAGTCGCAGGCTGTGTGGTGGAGAGCTCCTTCCCAAGCAGGGCTGCTGCCAGCCCTCTGTAAAGCTACCTTGGCCGCCAGGGCTGTTTATTTATAAACTAAAGCACTTAAATCCACTCTGATCTGGGACTTAACAAGACAAATATTCCCATTCAGACATTACGCCTCTGCTCACTCCCTGGGGCAGCTTCATGCTCCCCAGCCCGACACTCCCTGCCCTGAGCCCACCCTCCATGCCGGTGTGCTGTGTGCCTGCCGGGGGAGGGAGGCGGCTGGGCAGAAAGTGGCACTGCCTATTCCCCCGGGCCCAGCCCCTGAACCAACCCCCAGGCTCTGCCAAGGAGAGGAGTCGCATGAGCCGTTCAAATGCCGGCAAACAACCACCCACGCGATGTGGAGCAGAGACCGGCAGGGCTGGATGGAAGAGCAGGTCTCCCAGCACTGGCAGGAAGCACCCTTCCTAATCTGCCAGGCAGAGCAGGGGGCAGCCAGGCAGGGAACCGAGGAGTGGCTACAGGCTGGAACGGAGGGTGCATGAAGAGCTGGGGCAGGAATGGACAGCGGGGGGTGCTGCAGGGCAGGTCTAGGTGCCCTTGACACAGCTATGCCGGGGTCCCACAGCCGGAAGGGCTGGAGCTCGCAGAAGAGGCTTTCCAGCCTTGCACTGCTCCAGAGCATTGCGAACTCAGCCCTGCTGGTCTGTCCTGTGCTTGGATACCAGGGCATCCAACAGGGCCAGAAGGTGATGAGCTTGTCGCTCCCCGGAGGATGTGGGGGGCTCTGCCCAAAAGCACCAATGGGGAGCTGAAATCCCTCGTTGCTAGGAGATCCCTCTCCCTGTGGCCAATGCCAGGTGGCCCAGAGGGAACGAACAGAACAGGGAATCATCAAGTGATCCATCCCCTGTCACCCATTCCCAGCATCTGGCAAACAGCAGCTAGGGACACCATCCCTGCCCATCCTGGCTAATAGCCTTTCATGGACCTGTCCTCCATGAGCTTATCTAGTTCTTTTTTGAACCCTGGCCATTTCGGAGAAGGCGGGGCAGGCTCTAAATACTGGGAGGTTCTTTCTGCGTCTCTTGCCTTTCTCCCAGATCGGTACATTCTGCGTGTTTTACATGTTAGTGGCAGACTCGCTGTCCTGGGCATGTACTTCACAGCCTTCCTCAGCAGGCTGACCGAGCTAGCTAGAGGCCAGAGAGCCTGCTGCCATCGACGCTGAGCAAATGGAAAAGCTAATCTAGGATTCAGTCAATAATTAATGCCAGTCCAGACGGTTTTAGGGAAATAGTTATCAGCAAACAACCCCGATTTCATTCTTTGATGCGATGACAAGGCATTACACAATACCAGTGAAGCCCCGTTAAATGGCTTAAGAAGGGGCAGATCCCCAAAGCAGTTATTAATGGGGAATCCTTACACGAGACTGTTTCCTGGTGGGTTCCGCGGGGATCAGCACTAGACCTGCTGCTCCCCGATATTTTTATCAATAATCTGGAAGCCAATATAAAAATCACTGCTGATGAAATCTGCAGATGACACATTGGCAGAGTGGTCAAAATTGACGAGAACAAGGCTCAGTCATACAGCGTGATCTGGATCACTTGGTAAGCCAGGCCCATTCAAACAAAATGTGATTTAATACAGTCAAATGCAAAGTTACAGATCTGGAAACAAGGAACGCAGGCCGGCCCTGCAATACGGGGACTGGCCCCTGGTATGCAGCGACTCCGAAAAGGAGCTGGGGTCTCATTGTGGACAAACAACTCAATGTGAGCTCCCAGTGCGATGCTGTGGCAAAAAGGGCTAATGCGACCCTTGGATATACAAACGGGAGGCGTGAGTAGGGATACGGAGGTGATTTTTACCTCCGTATGCAGCACTGGGGAGGCTGATACTGGAATACTGCGTCCAGTTTGGGGTTCCATGTTTTTTATGTAGGAACATGTAGGGTGCCAGAAAACATGACAAGAATAGTTCAAGGGCTGGAGAAAATACCTTCTAGTGAGAGAAGGAAAGAGCACAGTTTGGTTTATTAAAAGGATTGAGAGGAGACTGGAGAAAATGCCAGGTGCCGAAGGGCTCTTTAGTCCAGCCCTGACAGGCAGAACAAGACCCAGTGGCTGGAAGCTGAAGCCAGACAAATTCGTTAGAAATAAGGCCCCGATGTTTAACAGTGACCAACCCCCGAACAAACTCCCAAGGGCTGGTGGATTCTCCATCTCTGGGGATCTTCAGAGCCAGACTGGAGCCTTTCTGGAAGATGCTTTAGCCAATAAAGGAGTCCGTGGGTGACATTCTCTGGCCTGTATTATACACAAGGTCAGGCTAGATGATCTAATGGTCCCTTCTGGCTTTACAATTAAATCTATGAAGCACAGACATCTGAGCACGCCTGGCTAGGAAATCTCGCAGCTACAGAAGCCTCTCTCTTCCCTACCCCGTGGGATTTTGGAGAGTGCCATAGAAAACATCTCTCCATTTGCCTTCCCCCTTTTTCATGCTGATTAGAGGCCTGACCTCCCTTCTCCCCCATTCCATTTCCTGTTTGTGCTCATTCGCACTGCGAAGCTCCTGCCCGGGGACTCTCCCCCAGCTGCGCTGTCTCACGGGAAGGCAGGATGCTCTGTTTTCAGGGTCTGGGTTCATGCCTGGGTGAGGAAGAAGGTTGGCTGTATTGTGGGTTGGGATATTAATGCACAGCCCTGGCAGTGGGACTGTAGTGTGTTGTATTCTAGGGGCTCCAGTCTGCCTCGTGTGATTTTCTCTGCAAACCCCAAGGCTGCTCAGTGCTCATGGGACACTTATCACCGGCAGGTTAGTGACTTGTCCCCCTTATGGCTTTATTTACATTGGACTTCCCAGGCAGTAATTGCCAGGTTCACTGGGTTCTGGGATCACATTCATTGTCTTGGGATGGGACGCATGCCTGCTGGGGCGGCCCCTTTGCACACCTTGCCTTCAGCATTAGCGCTTTGCACAAGTAACCATTATTCACCAGTGTTGCAAACCTCTATTCTCCTTACTAGACAGGTTACAAACAGCAGTTCTTCTATAACTCCTGCCTCTTTACTACTTCCCCTGCTCCTGATAGTACTTTTTACTCTAGTTCTCCAGCCAGGATCAGCTCTGAGGCTGGTCTCCCCCGGACTGACCCAAATGACAGAGCCCAGCGCCCTGGAGCTGAGGAACTTAAGATATCAGCGAGGACAAACGTGGAGCAGGACCCAGAAATGGCTGGCCCTGCTCTGCATAAGGAGAACGCCCTGCCTACATCAGCGAGGGATTAAAAGCGTTTGGAAGTTGTGTAAATCCTCCTGCGGCCATGAAACTGACGCAGCCCTACGGGCAGGCAAGTCCATCCTCACTGGAGGGTTTCTTGCACCTTTCTCTGCAGCAGGCACGGCTGGTCCTGGCCAGCGTCAGAAACGGAGAGGGGCTAGACGGACGGCTGCTCTGATCCCGTCTGGCAACTGCTGCGCCCTAAGGCAGGAGTCCCAGCTAAGAGAGCGACTTTAATTGCTCCCCAGGGATGGGAGCCTTCTGGCTGATTTCTACAAGGCTTGACAGGCATTTCAATGGGTCCCGGCTGGCTGGAAAAGCCACGGCTACGGCGCAGGGTCAGCGTGCAAGGGAATCCCAGGGCTCGCACTCTGCAGAGGAAAAGGAGCTCAGGCCCCTCTGTGCCCCTGGAGAGAAAGGGGAAAACACCAGCCCACGCGCACACGTTTCACCCAGGCAAGCCGCTACCTCCCCACTCACCTACAGACGCTCAGGGGGATAGCCTGCCAGCGACAATTCACCCAGGGACCTCCATCACTGGCCAGTTCTCAATCCAGATTGGCTTTTTCTAAAAGCTCTGCTTCAGGACTGGGAGGCCGGTATCTAGCCTGCACTCCCCAGGGGGTCAGAGGAGGTGATCCCAAGGGCCCACCTGGCCTGGGACTCTAGAACGCCCACGCGTCCTGGAGAGACTCCAGCTGGGGGCCACACACAGGAGGGGACCCGGGCTGCCCTCTGAAAGGGGAGCACCCTGCTGGCAGGAAGGGAGAGCCAGTGATGCCCAACAGGGAGAAGGCAAGGGGGAGGGGCACCACGAATCAATTCCTCTGCAAGCGGAGGTCAGCGAAGGGCCAGGCTGCTGCCAGAGCCCTGGTACAGCAAAGAGCCAGACAGCCTGAGGGAGCACATCCGACCCCTTGCTTTCCTCCCCACCACTGCACTGAGCGGGGCAGACCCTGCCCCTGGCGACCCCCTGGGCACTCAGACCTTCGCTGCAGCACCGGGGGCTGAGGAGAGGGGAGCAGTGCACCTAAGCTCCCCGGCGGGCAGCGCCCCTGGAAGGGGCCACCCAGGGAGGGTAGCCCGAGTGGCTGGTGCTGGGCTCCTGTGGCTCGTCCGAGCGAGCAGAGCTGGCGTTCCCTGTCCCAGTCCCTGCGCCGGCAGGCAGCCGCCTCCTCGCGGTGCCCACGGGAGCCCTGTGATTGGAGCCGACAGCATCTGTCGCCAGCCGGACGCGCTCGGGGACTAGGGCTGCGCTGCCGGCGACAGGGAAGTGGGTGCTGTTTCCACAGGCTGTGGCCCACGGCGAGGGGGGCAGAGCGGAGGGGGTGGGGCTGGTCCCCATTAAATCCAGGGCCGGGGCTAGGAAGAGAACCACACCGAGGTATGGCTGCTGTCCCCGTTTGTCCAGGGGAGAGGGGCTCAGAGCCCCTGAAATACACACCTCTGCCACTTCCCCAGGGGCAGCTTGAAGGACCCTGCT